AGCCCACGCCAGAGCAGGTTTGCTGACAGGACTTGTGACCCCGTGGGGGACCCACGCTGGAGCAGTTTGCTCCTGAAGGTCTGCACCCTGTGGGAGAGACCACGCTGGAGCAGTTTGTGAAGGACCACCTCCCGTGGGAGGGACTCCACGCTGGAGCACAGGAAGAATGTGAGGAGTCCTCCCCCTGAGGATGAAGAAGCGGCAGAAACAACGTGTGATGAACTGACCGTAACCCCCATCCCCCGCCCCCCTGTGCCGCTGAGGGGGTCAGAGGTTTGAAGCTGGGAGTGAAGTTGAGCCCTGGAAGATGGGAGGGGTGGGGGGACGTGTTTTAAGATTTGATTTTATTTCTTATTCCACTACTCTGTTTTGCTTAGTAATAAATTAGATGAATTTTCTCTCTAAGTTCAGTCTGTTTTGCTCATGATGATAATTAGTGAGTGATCTCTCCCTGTCCTTATCTCGACCCATAAGCCTTTCATTATACTTTTTCTCCCCTGTCTAGAGAAGGAGGAGAGTGATAGTGCGGCTCTGGTGGGCACCTGGCCCCCAGCCAGGGTCAACCCACCACATCGTCCCTGGGAGCAGCTCCCAAAGCAACCTCTCCTTGCACCATGAGCTCTCATGGTGCCTGCTCAGAAAAGCAGCAGGGCAGCAAGCCAGATGAGTGCTTCGGCAGGGCACGGATTTCCCTGAAACAGAGGAGTTTCCACCATTCTCTGGAAAGCACTGGAAAATAAGAGACGGCATAGCTGTAACAGCACCACGTCTCCAACACCTAAACCAAATATTTATACCACTGCAATTATTCATGCCATGCACAACTCAAGCACTGTCAGTGCTTTGCCTGTAAGTTATGTTTGAGTATCAATCATCCGTGGAGTCACTTATTTACAGCCTTCAGCCAAACACATTGCAGCCTTCAAAGGATTTTGCTGGGCAAGGCAAAAAACAAACAAAAAGAAACAGAGAAGGCCTAGTGTCACCACTGTTGAATTAACAACAGATTCACAGCTCCCGCTGCATTGGCCCTCAAGCTATTTCACAGCCAGTGCTGACACGGGTGGGCTCAGAGCAACCTGGAGTGCCGAGGCAATGCATATAGCATCATCGAGCTCTTCCCAGGGAAAGCTGCAGGTTTAGAGAAGGAAAAGTTATGCTCTGATCATCACTACACGATGTCGAAGCATCTGCTAAGGGGGGCTCGCCGTAATGGCAAGCGACCTGTGTCTCCCCTTAGGAGCTTCTTGGATAGTCTGTCTGGTGACCGTCTGGGACCTGTCACTGCTTTTTGACGCTGTGTAACACAAACGAGCTGCAGGTTGCAGTGGGTCTGGCTTTTCCCTTGGCTACTGCTTCTGGAGGGCTGCTCCCAAACCACACTCGCTCTTGGTGGGAACCTCCCCATCTCCGTTGCCAGTTCCCATCCATTCATGCATGTGCCAACATTGTCTTTTTGCCAAAATGGTTTCTCCCTGCCTGATCACCCCTATTTTTATCCCAGACTTGTTGCAGGCTGCAGCTGTACCCCTCTCAGCCGCCACTTTGCCAGGCTAACCAGGCCAGCCTCTGTAAGACCAACAGTTTCCCCTCCCCTTGGCACATTAACAGATCATCTCCATACCTCTTCTCTTCTGAATTAGTCTTTCTTAAATACAGATGCTGGGAACCGTGCAGAGCGCGTAGCTGAGGGCTCCCCAGGGCGTCAGAGTGGCACGGGTGTTTTCCAGGAAAAAGCATCCTCTCCAACTTGTTATTTACTGTTTTTCTGGATGTCTTGTGGGGACTTATGGTTATCAACTACTACAGCACTTGAGAAAACAGTAAAAGGAATAAAAATAATCTGCTTCCAACTGTCTTCTCAGGCTTGGTTTGCCTCTGGCCACACCACAGGTTGAGTCCCACCTTTCCGGCAGAAAAGTCCTCACACATTATGGCTGGGGCCAGCAACAAGGCAATTGCATCCTCAGCACAGCAAAAGCCATTCAAGCTTATCCTACAGGAGCAACTCCCTACCACCTAATTTGATCTGTTGTTCCTCATTTAGCTGTTCAGCCACGGGAGAGGCTCCCTCTCCTCGCTACTCTTTCATCCTGGGCTAACAGCGAGGAGGGGACATCACAGGTCTCGGGTATTCACCGAGGTGTTTGGGGAATGCCTGGGAGGACTCCAGCCTGAATCGCACCAGCAGCCACAGCCATGGTTGTGCACCTCAGCCTGAATTTAACCAAACTGAGAAGAACCACATTCTCTCTTTTTCATGGCCAGGGTGTCCCCCACTCCTCCACTAATCCTGTAGCAATGTAGGAGAAGGGGAGCACCCTCTGGGGAGAGGTTTGTCTACAGCCACTTCTTAAAACAGTCAGAGATAGAAAAGTTGCACTGGGGAAAGAAACAGAGGAGGAAAAACATTTTATGGGGCTGGCAGCTGACCAGTGATTTGATGGTAGAATAGTTTTAACCAGGTCCCTCAGATTCGGAAGCCAAAGAATGCGTAATTTTTGCCTTTGAAAAAGAAACACAGGTTTCCACCATATTGGAGGAAAAAACAGCCTGTGGAAAGAAAGAGGCAGCCCTGACTTATGACAAGGGGAATAAAAGAAATTTCGTAAGGCCAGCCAAGATACAGGGTCTTTGTAAGACTCCTAAGGAGGAGTGCTTGCAATCACATGTCTTATTAAGTACTTCATTTTCTGGGTAGTGAATGGCAACTCCACGCCCATCTCCTCACCACTGGCTCTTCAACAGCTCAGCAGCAGAGAGGATTTAGGATGCTTACATTCAGATTGTTCCATGAATCCCTGAGCATGGGAAGTGGTACTGCTTAATGGGATATGCTGCGGAGCTCCTCCCTGAGTCCCTAAGGGGTGGCAGATGGGCTCCAGATTTCTCCCAATTATCCCCTACCCTAGAGTTTTCTACAGGCTCTGCTCCCTTGATCCTGCACCCAGATCAGAAGGGTCCTGCCTCAGCTGGAGGATCGCTGGGGTAAGGAGAAAGCAGATACTGCTTACTGCATGTTTCAATGCTTTATTATTTTGTAGGACAGATTCCTTATAAGCCCAAACAAAGGTGCATCAAGTACCAGGAGATGCAAAAGTCAGAACAACAAGGTAGCCCTGCAAAGTTATCACCTACAGTAATTTCAGGATGCTTTGGCATTTACCTTGATTGCCCAAGGGTAGCAACTGACCCTCACTGATAAACTCTACAGCAGACTGGTGTCCAAGCACGTAGTAATTGCATCCACAAACTGTTTTGCCACGTGTCCCATTTCTTGCATTTGGCCTACCTGACTCCAAAGAGGACTTGCAGCAGGGTGCAAATCCCTGAGACAAAGAAGATGGTGCTGATCAGGTGGCTCTGGGTGAGGAGGTCGTGCTGGAGGCAAAGCTCTTTGGAGAGGATCAGCGGGATGGCTACGAGACCTCCCATGGCTGTCAGGAAATGCTAGGAGCCACAGAGAAAGACTGGGTGAAGAAGGACTGGCTGTATATTATTACTGTGTTATTGAGGGAAATATAAAAGTAACTCACAGATTAGTGTTTGGGTGGTACTAGTATTACCCATTTTTTTTTTGGCAACTTTAATGCTCTGCTAGGGACTGTTCCAAAGCACCTACAAGAACTGCAATGCACCCCCACAAACTTCTCCTGCTTTCCATGCCCAAAGACCTTTTGCAGTGCTCTGGACTCCCCAGACCACTGTCAGGCACAAACAGTTTATTCCCAGCACCTGCAGACAAAGCTGGCGGGGCTACTCTTCCAGGAGGGTGGGGACATCCTAAGGTAGGGGGAGAAAGCGATCAGGCAAAGGGGGGGGCAAATGTTTCAGTCCATCTCATTTGCACCACAAAGGATAACATAAAAAGTTGGCAAACTGGAGCTACCCATTCTTTGCTATCAGTAGCTTTTCTCACACAGTGCAATTATGGACAACCATAAAAAATGGATGCCAAAGAATGAAAAAAATCAGGCATTGTATTTTTCAGAAGAGTCACAGACATATTTCTACAATGACCTTCTGTTAATTATTAAATGTGAAAATAATTTTTCAAACTTATTTTTGCTTTAAATATTAACCTTAGTTGTTAATTCTCACCTCAGCACAGGACTGCAGAGGTGGAACTGGTGGCACTCAGAAACTCACTGTGCTCATTAGAGGCCATGTTTTATCAAAATTATGATGCAGATGTGTTCAGAAAACCTTGGTTTAATACACTCTAAATGGGAGACAACCGTTTAAGGAAACAAAGTACAACATGCCCAGAAAGCTCCAAGCACAGTCAGTCATTACCTTAATCACTCTGTGGTCTCCCTTCCCTGAGGCTCCGTACCCAGCATGGCATCGGTGACATTGGGTCATTTAACACGCCCAGGCACGGACTCCAGCCAAAGCAGTGCTGGCCCTTCTCCTTAGTTTTTATTGCCGTGGGAAGGCAGAAGTTAGACATTTGACATGTGGTTACCGAGGGATCTGACCTGTTATTAACTATTTGGCCGCAGCCCCGGCACTCTGCCTTCCCATTTGCATTTCCAGGGGCACAGCGTAGCTGTGGGCACAAGGGTAACAGCTGGTTCTCAGGAGGCGGTAGGAAGGACTTGAGTTCACCGAGATCCAGCCCTACAGCTCCGTGCATGCCCAGTGAAGGTGAAGCACTCCCAAATTCAGCTTTCACCCCCATTAACCGGCTGAACAGCCATTAAACTTCCACCCACACCCAGCCTCCGCCTGCTCCCCCATCACACCTGAATGCCCAGGAAGATGCACAGGTACAAGGGGGGCATGTCCGTGACGGTGTAGGCAAGCTTGCTGCTGCTGTGGCCTGTGCCCCTGCCTTCCTCCGGGCCCAGGGCAGTGCGATCTGGCAAGGAGCAATAGTGGCTCCCATCTTCACCCTGGCAAACAGGAGAGACCCTCCGTTAGCCACAGCCCGTCCCTGCAGGCACCCAGCAGCTGCCTCTCCTGCAGCTGCGCTCCACGTCTTGCAGGAATACCTCGTATAAAGCTTTCAACAAGGACAGGATAAAAGAGAAGAGCAGGGGGCGAAATTAAAATGAAGGTAAAAACACCCATGGAAAAATTTTATATGCATGTGTGTGTCTAGACCAGAAGAGGGTGTCTCAGCCTCAAAGGGACCTCTGGACAAAGTGCGTTAGTATCATTAATGTCTAGCTAAGGACAGAGAAACTGCAACCAGAGGCAAGAAAGAATGTGCAATGGGTTCATCGGTGAAAGCTGCACTGTCCCCCGGTCTCTGTCCCTCCTGGCTGTCCCACCCAAAAAGCACTTTTGATAAAATATGCTAAAACAACTTGGCTGCCACTAATTATAGAGTAGAAGCATGTTTTATATTTCAATTTCTTAAGTCTTCTATTTCCAATCTCCTTCCATTCACCCTTACAAATGTTCTGCCTCGATAAACACACCTGCCCTTTGTCTTAAGTAGAAAACCTTGCTCCTATGGAGGAACTGGGTGAAACACAGGGACACCAGCGGATGGGGTGTCCCGGCATCCGTTTCAAAGGAGCCGACTCACAGCAAGGCTACCGGGGTGCTGCCCCGGGTCAGCCGCCTGCCGCGGGGAACAGCACCCGCAGGGGTGTCCCAGCGTGGGAGCTGCACTGGGAACAGGGAAACAGCCTGGGGACCTGGGGCCTCAGGGAGGTGGCAGGGCCTGAAATAGCTCCCCAGGAAGGCTGGGATCCCCTCCCAGGCAGCCAGAAGCCCCAGGGCTCCCCAGGGAGCTGTACGCCTTGCAGAGTTTACTTATACAAAGATGCATTTTGCCAAGGAAGGCAGAATACTGCTTTGCTTCTATTGCCACAGTTTTTAAACTAAGTAAATACCTGTAGTTGCCCACTCCTCCTTCCAACCCGCCCTGACCCCTGAACACACATGTGTGCACACACGCACATTGCCTGGGCACACAGACACCCATCTGCACGCACATGTGGGCACACACACACACATGCACATCCTGCCTATGCGTACACACCTCCCCCTGCACACACATGCATGTGGTAAAAGGAAGATGCCCTGGAAAGCCATGTTTTGAACCAAATACAAAAGCTAATTAAGATCCCAAACCATTTGTTTCATTGACCCGTCTCCAGCCATCAAGTCCCCGGCACGCCAGTAGCAGAGGGCTTTTCTGGGCTGGGATGCCCTCCTCCATGAGGCAGGGACAGAAATCTGCTGTCAGGAGAAGCTCAATCAGTTTGTCAGCACCAAACAACTTTTTTTTT